TTTCCAATACAAAATTCCAACAGTGTTGACTCAGTGTTTCTCTTGCATGATATTGTGGCCCTTCATTGTTTGTTTTCTGGTATAGATGGCGTATGGATACAAGGATGGAGCATTGGAATCGAAGACAAGAATGAACATGGGACTTTAAGGTTTTAAGGTAGATTTTGATGAATTGAATAAAGATATTTCACGTCTTCTATATTTTCTCCCCATTCTTCTCTCTCCCCTTCCCTTTCTCTTTCTTTATCAATCTTGTTCTTTGTCCACTTGTGTTCGTCATCACCATGCCCATGAAAAATGACATTAAGGAAGATGAAAAGAAAGTACTTAATGAAATGGAGGAGCTGACAAATGCCACAGAGTAGAAGAAAAGTACAATAAAACTTATATTAAAAAGACGAGCCAAGGTTGTTCCCATGTTTACAGATTCTCTTTCTTCTTTCTTGTGGTTCTTTTCTCCAGATACATATTGTACACAGAAGATCAAGCAATCAAGGATTAGTTTGGGCTATTGTCTTTGCTCTCAAGGCTATTTTCAGTTGACATTTAATTGAATAACTTTTGTATCTGAGTTTTATGTGAAGTGATGGGAACGACCATCGTCAGCACTATATAACTGTAGGTGGCAAGGTTCTTGGCCAGTTAAGAGTGCATAACACAGTTTCTGCTGGGTGCTACTGAAATATATTGATAGTGAGAGGGTGAAACAAGTGCTTACAAGTATATTGGTTGGAAGTCTGTTAAGCTGATCCATTGGCATTTTCTGGACTAGCGATACAAGATTTGGAAGATTGTAATCACTGGGGTCGATGACTTTTAGAGGATTTTTGTAACCAGCTGCTGGATTAGGTTTATTTATGCTGCACGAAACCAAGGAAACAGAAAGGAATTTTAGGAAATAAGTTGAATTTTTTTTCCTGAACTCAGTACCTTCTGAAACAAAGTTTACTACTAACAAAATGGAGCAACCACCACAACGCTGTACTCAAAATAAGTAAATAGTCAGTTTGCTTGGTTGATTGTGAATCCTCTGAAATCCAAATACCAAATACTAATATTTGAAACTCCTAGTAAGAGAATTGTCTGCAACAGACAACATATTATACAAGTTCAAAATTTTATAACTCCCAAGTGTCCAGAAGTAGGGTTGGGCAAAATGTCCGAACCGAACTGAATCGAACCGAACCGAGCGGGTTTTCTTAACTTAAAAACCCGAAGAATCAAGAACCGAAGAATCGAAAAATTTTGGTTCGATTCTCGGTTCTAGACCTAGAACCGA